TATATATATATATTCATATATTCACATGTATATGCATGTCTATGCTTACTTAATAACTAGTACAGAGCCCGTGCGATGCACGGGGTGCACAATTTTAAGGTCATTTATCTAGCCTTACAATTATATAAATGAATAAAAGAAAAATGTACGAGATATATATAGTACGTGAGCTGTGCAGGGCGTGAGATATATTTATTTGGGAAATATTATATTATAAGATGCAATATTCAATAAAAGCTTTACAATACACAGGAAAATTGTACAATAAAATAGTATTCGCCAAAGAAACTATCATATATTATTAAAGAGCTTCTTATACACAACATTATTAAAGACCTCCTATTAACTTGTTTGATTAAGCCAAATCTTTCATTCATTGTTGTAGATGACACATTGATCTGTTTTTTGTTTTTTCGCAGGTTGAAAGAGATGAACACGTTGATTCAGAATTGAGAGATTTTTATTTATAATTGGTTTATTGAATTCTATGTAGAGATAATGTCAAGTAAAATCAGATTATTATCTGTAGTAATAAATCAAATAAAATATTTATCGCATTATAATTTAAAATATATTGCATTTAAAAAAAAAATCCAAACAACTAAAACGTGTGAAAATATGTTTTCATTTGGGAAGGAGATAATTATGTTGACCGATCTTATCACCATGTATAAATAATTATAATTTGTAATTGCATTTAAAAAGTTTCCACACCAAACAACGCGTGAAATCTGTTTTTGGTCGGGGTCAATCTGTTTTTTGGGAAGGAGACGCGTGAAATTTGTTTTAACATCAAATCAGATATTTATCTCTTTATAACTTATAATTTAGATTAAAAAAGATTCCAAACACCAAAAACACGTGACTTTTCAATGCTTGATAATATTATAAATGCAATAATTAAGTTTGACTCCCATCTTATGTGATTATTCTTTACTAAACTGATTTTATGAGATAAGAAAAAAAAATACGTAATAAACAAATTGTAAAAAAGATCAGAACAGATTTCCATACACTTAGTACAAAGATAAGAAGAAATTTTGAATACACACAAATCCTTAAAAAGATTGAATCTGCGTTTACAATTTTTGATTTTCTTTACTTCACCGATTTGGGATTTTTTATGTAAAGATAAGAAAGATTGTTTTTGACTAAACTGAGTTTATGTTATCAGATAAGACCAAAAAAAAAAAACGTAAATTAAATACTTGATAAAATTATAAATGCAGTAATTAAGTTTGCCTCCGATCTTAGAGGTTGTTTTTTAATAAACTGATTTTCTGAAATAAGAAAAAAAATACGTAATTAACATATTTGATAAAATTAGAAATTTATTAATTAAGATTGACTATTTAGTAAATAGGATACTTTTTAAGATAAGTATAGATTGGTTACTAGCTATAGGCTTTTCGGGTTCAGTAGTTAGACTATCATCTAACAAGAAGACAACCATACTTTTATAACTTGTTGGGCACATAAATGGACTGACCTGGGAGGTTGAATTACTGAAAAGAGAGATATTAAATTTACCATTTTCCTCCCTTTAGTCGATCAATGCATTATTTATATAGACTGAAAAAAACAGATCAATTAAAATAGAAGCGCCGCATATATTTATAACAAAATCTGACCAAGCCCGGCATGCATTCATCCAATTTCAAAATTGATCTTTCTTCTAGTAGTTAGACATGCTCATCTCCCTATCTTATAACCTACAATATATGGTTAACAATATTGAATATGAAACTCTAATTATTTGAGAAGTTGCAGTTACATCTTTGCACCTATGCTTGAACTGCAGCTTGAGCCGAATGCTCTGCCGTCTCGACATACGACGAAAATGACGAGGAACCTTGTAAGACGGGCAGAGCAGGAGTAAACAAGACGGGCTTAGGAGGAATCTGTATGGACTGAAAACTCCCTTCTAACATCTCCACAACCATTGAAATCGGAGGCCTGTCCGATGGGTTTGTCTGAATGCACCAAAATCCTACCAAAAGCATTTTCCGAGAAGTTACGTCTACGTGTGTGGTAATAGTAATACCATCCGCTGACATCCTAGTAACATCATCTATTACGCGCTCGTAAATTCCATCAGGAAAATAATTCTCGCTCGACTGGGTGTTTTCGGATTGGCCCACGACGAGAGCGTTTGCTCCAGCCATCTCAAGAACCATCATCCCGTAGCTATAAACATCCGATTTATGCGAAACTCCTCCGAAATTTCTGGAGAAGACTTCCGGAGCAATGTACCCTGGCGTGCCTCTCGTCCCAAGCACCGACACCAAACTCTGCTTCTTCTTGCACAGTTTAGCGAGCCCAAAGTCGGAGATTTTCGGACAAAGGTCTTGGTCCAGAAGAATGTTCTGAGGCTTGATGTCAAAATGAACAATCCTGGTGTTGCAGCCCGTGTGCAGATACTCTAGGCCTTTGGCTACTCCAAGCGCAATCTTATAAAGTGTTTCAGAATCCAAGCGGTCGAGTGACCCGTCAGCAATGTACTTGTCGAGAGATTTGTTAGGCATGTACTCGTACACCAAAGCTCTCTTTTGTGTGTCGAAACAAAAACCCAAGAGATTGACGATGTTGACGTGGGAGGTCCGGCTGATGCTGGCGACTTCGTTAATAAACTCCTCCCCGTTGCTATTGGTATCGGTCAAAACCTTGACTGCAACAAGGATGTCATCGGGTAGCTTTCCTTTGTACACGCTGCCGTATCCTCCTTGTCCTAGCTTCTCGCTAAAGGATTTGGTCATTTTCTTGATTTCGGTGTATTTATAGCGCTTGAGAGCTAGAGATCCATGCTGGAGTAGAAATGTTTCGACATTTAGGTTGTGACGGCCTCGTAAACGTCTTCTTCTAATGCAACAGATTGTGGTAACGATACTCAACACACTCACAACAGTAACACCCATTATGATGCCTGAAATATGTATACATATCTGACATTGAGGCAAGGCAGGGCAGAATAAGGGGATTATGATATTAAATATAGCACAAGGATTAATGAATTACCTAGTAGTCGCCCTATATGGACATTCGATGAGCCTACAAAATTAACAGAGAACCTGAAAAACTATCGAAAAAAAAAAATATATATATATATAAAAATTGAACATGGAAGCCTACCTTGGATAGGAGAAGAGGCAGGAGTAATTTGCGTAGGCGGCATACCTTGGATATGAGAAAACAAGGTGGAGTTAAAATCACACGAAATGAATAAGGGATATGGGTAAGTATTGATTTACCTGGGCCGCGGGTAAGGAGACGTTGGGTGGGGCAGAAGAGCAGGCTGTAAGTGTTGCCTGTAGCGGCACAAGTGAAGATTCTTGTGGCATTGTCCTGACGATAAGTTATAGCATCTGGACACCTTCGCTTGAAAAACATGGAATATGTTGTGGGCCCACAACTGGCTACCGTTGCATCAGAACAACAATACTCGTTTGTGTGGAAGACTGTGCATGGATTGTTACAGCCGGAGCCGCTGCCGCCCGGAGGAGCACGCAACTCGCTCGGACACCGCGCGTTGATATCCGCATCACACCTCAGTCTTACGCCGTAAGTTGAACAATTCTGGTTAGGGGTGGTAGGACTGAATTCCAAGGGGACGTTATACCCATCCATCAAAGATATGTAGAATAAATACTGGCTAGACCCGACGAACTGATATTCGGCTACTGTGTTGGGGGCTGCACCAGGGACCCGACACTCGAGCTGCCCGGCGCAGTCGCCAGTCTGGCATCGCCCTTGGCCCGACGCATTGAACGAGCAGCCAGTTCGGGCCCACAGTCGCCCATTTGTGCTGCCCATAGCGTTCAAAATCCAATTCTGCCCGGAGTCGAGGCGCCGGCCTCCGCCGGGTATCGCGGCTGCCCATACGGTGTACGGGCAGTTGTTATGGACGACAAATGTGGATGACGTGGCATCGAGAAGGAGGAAGAAGAGGAGGATGAGAGTAATGATATAAGAGATTCTTAATTCTAATATAAGCCTCATAATCATCATCGTCATCTTTGTTAGTTTGATAGATGTTGTCCTAAACCATGTTAATGTTATTAGATCGATGACTCCTTCGTATGTGGTGTAGAATGTAGATGCCGCGTTAATTCACTGGATTTGGGAGACACGTGATTGACGGGCGTGGAAACTTCAAGTGCGCGACTCGTGAGTCAACATCGGCGAATAATTATAACCAGTACACCCACGTTTTTTTTAAAACCATTCTATAAAAACTAGCATAATAAAGTGCACGTGTTGCACGTGTTGCTGATTCATTTTTCCTTGGATGAATTTTGCAGTAAAAAAATAATTAATTTTAAAATCATGTGAATGATTTAGCAAAATTAATAATAATAATAATAATAATAATAATAATAATAATAATAATAATAATAATAATAATAATAATGAGTTATTATTAAGTTCGCATATATTGAGATTGGGAAAAAATATTAATGCATTAATGTGAAATAGATGGAAAAACAACGAGTTTCTCATAACAAATAGAAACAGTAAAAAATAATAATTAATTTATAGGGAAATACTAAGTTCCGTTACGGAATCATTCCGTCAGAGTTTGTAACCGTTAGATCAATTATCTATGATGGTTACATGATGATCTAACGGTTACAAACCTCGACGGAATGATTTCGTAATGGGACCTTAGTATTTCCCTAATTTATAATACAGATGCGTTAATTCTTTCGTCTTGTAATGTTCATGATTAGATGATAAATTTTATTAGTGCGGTAGACAGTGATAGTTTTATTAAAGTAAGAATTTAGATTTGGATGAAAATATTATTGGAAGAACATAAAACGCATGTATTAGAATAAAATGTAATAAAACAAAATGTAACTTACACATTATTAAATACATCTTTGTACACGACATTATTTGTTTGGTCTTTTAGTACATCGTCTAACGCATTGCATATCAGAATATAACAGAAATTGTAAAACATCTTTCTTGATAATATATAGCATTTAAAATTGTATATTACTTAATTTAAGGAAAATAAAATTGTGTAAGTGTATGCAATCAAATTCAAATGTGTATTCTAGAGGATTAAACAAAACTCAAATTTTTAGGTGTTTCAGTCCGAATTCATTTTGAATTTCAAATTAATATTATTTGACTCTGTTTTATGTTTTAAAAAATTCGAACTAAAGAAAGTCGCAGTCAACTGATAAAGAATTTTTAAATTTTAATTTTCAATTTGGAATTGGGCCCGATTTCTATGCAATCTATTTTTTTAATAAATATGATATGTTGCAATTAGGTAAAGATACATGTTATAGCATTGTGCCTAATTCGAAATTCTCGATTTTATGGTAAACAACTTTTTTAATATAAAATGAGAGAATTTTGACTTTTATAAAATTGTCATGCTGAATTTGACCTCAATTAACCCGATTTCTATGCAATCCGATATTTTTTTATAAACAATCGTTGTGTTGCAATTAGGAAAAGATATATGTGATAGTATTTTTCCTAATTCGAAATTTCTGATTTTATGGTAATCATCTTTTTTTTTTAATAAAAATGAGAAAGAATTTTGACTTTTGCAAAATTGTAAGCATCAGTCAACTAAATTAAATCCACAAAACCCATGTATTTTGGATGCATATATAACAAATCGACTTCTTGAGAATAATTTAAAAAGAAAACTAAAAAACTACCAAAAATATAATACAATAAATGATGGTTGATTTTTATGTTACTATTTTTGTTTAACATGTTCTCTTTTTTTTTTTTTATAGTTAAAAGTAAATTTATAGATCAAAACTGTGGTTTAGACAACTGATAGTCGGCATACAAAAGCGCAGCGGGCAACCACAAGCTCGGTTCCTCAGTCGCGAATAATAATACTACGAGGGCAACCACATGCCGGTTGCTCACTCATGTCTATAATCGTGACACAAATGTAAAGAAGTAGTAGCACATAACATGCCCAAGAGATAAGTCTATCCAAGCCCAAGACTTTTTCTCTCAATCTCGACAAGTACATTCGGATACACCGTAAATATAGTACGATAAACATGAGTTTTGATCTTACGTACCACGAGGCTCGGAGGTTGAGATTCCTTCTCGAAACCAACTTATTTCTGGCATTCCAAATGAAGTACACAGTTGCCGCAAGCGCCGCTTTCTTCATCTTGTTTTGCCAATTAGCCCCTCTAGCCTCTTTTTTAGTCCATTTAAGGGACCCTTTGAGAGTCAATTGCCTATGACATAGGCTAATCCAATCACAAATTTCTCCCGATATCTCCAAACTAAATGGGCATTTCAAGAAAAGGTGACTCGACGATTCATCCACTCCATCGCAAAGGGAACAAGTCGGGTCTATCTCGAGGAACTCTAACTGATCCTTTGTACGGAGACGATTAAGCACTCATAGCCAAAAAATGAAGGAATGCTTGGGGGTATTGCAAGGCCCCCAAACAACCCCCCTCCAATTCTTAAATGTACTAAGGGGCCTTAGGAAGTCATAGCAACTTCTCGACCCGTCTTGCTTATCTCGCGAACTCCAACGATGAAGTAGGGCTTTCGCGGCTTACTCGCTATCCACCTTCACTACTAAGACACATCGGATCTCGAATAGATATTTGAACAGGGGCGAGTCGTCCTTGTGAATAAGTTCTCTCTTTATCTATATATAGTTTCCCCTTGCTTCTGAAGTTCTCGTACATTTCTTTAATATCATGGACGGATCAAGTATAGGCCTGGGCTGGGCTGAAGCCAAGGCCTATTATTTTTTTTTCTTATAATTAGTAGTTTGAACAAAAATATAGCTCAGCCTAATAAACCAACCTACCAACCCAACAGAATAATTCATTTATCTATTAAGTCCAAATTAAGACCACTAACACAATTCTAATAAAATGTTATATATTTTTTTTATCAATCCTTCCACAAGAAATTAACCCACAAAACACCACTCTACACCAAACTTCAATTATATAAATTTAACCACGACCATGTCCCTCATCTGAACACCTCGAACAATGAATTAGAAGAACAAAAAAAAAATACTGAATAAGAAAGAGGCTACTTTCATGAAGACGATTGAATTTATTCTTTAATAGAAAATTATATTTTTAGACCCCATATTAGATATTTATTTCATTTGTCTAATTGTTTTTATCGATCTTCTCATTACTATTTAGGATTTTAATAGTAATTGTTATGATAAATTGTTTGCAATTCTTGTTTTGCTGATTGTATATGAAGTAGTAATTGTGTGTTTGTGTGTTCTTTTTTTTAAGAAATCTCTTATCTTCTAGTGTAGTTGTTGTACATCATAGTTAGATATAATTTATTATGTGTAGGCATTTCATTTTGCTAATGATTAGGTCATATGAAAAATCTATTTATTTAGTATTGTGGAATTTTTAGAAATACACATGGAGCACCAACTTTCGGCCAAAAAAGGAAAAACCAATGTTCTTTAGAAACGGGAACGACGTTAAACTAGTGAAAACACATCAAATACAGTGCAAAATGAGCATAATGAATTTTTTTTTATAAGCTCGTCAAGCACAACTTCGGTGAATATTTGAAGAAAAAATATTATGTGATTTTTGTGACAATTAGTTTTTAAAATTCTAGCCTAGTCTACTCTTAATTTCTGAATCCTTCCATATGGTTTACTATCTCATGTTCTTACATTTTAATGGAATTGGTCTAAATTATTCATGTAAATAATATTAATATCATATTTTTTAATTGATTGTGTCATTTATAATTGTAATCATTTTATAAATTACCATCATTCAAATTTAAAAATATAACTCAATATGGATAATATAAATATAGATAAATATAATAATATATTAATCACTATTTATGTATTTTGAGAAAACTATTGCATAATTCAATTATTATTTTAAATCTAATCATAAAAGTGTTACCTCATATTTCTTCAGCCACGCCTTCACTTGACCAAACATATAAAAATAGTTTGTTGGATTGTTAATTTGGTAGTACACATGACATATATTTCATATTTTTATACTATCTAAGACAATTAAAAGTGTTTTATTTTGTTGAACAATCAGTATTCTCGTTTTCGCGTTGTCTTCATAAAGTACATTTACAAATAAGTTGTCTCAACCAGACCAGATCAGATCGAGGACTGTGCAGCTCTCGGCTAGCCGAGTTCTGTCTCTACCAAACATACGGACACAGCCTAACCACGGATAGCTCCAACTAGGCGGATCCACTGACGTTTGACATGTCAGTCACATCGCTAACATGGAATGCCCGTGGTCTGGCTAATAGGACCACCCTTGCGCACGTTAAATCTCTCATTCGTGAGCATAACCTTGACTTTGCGGCTTTCTTAGAGCCTATGACTCGTGACCCCTCTTTTGACGTGTACTCGCGCCGCCTTGGCTTTCATGCTGGGGTGGACAACACTTCTAACAAGATTTGGTTTTCCCAATCGCGTGACTTTACTTGTCAGATCCTTCGAGATACTGATCTGGTCTTGCACGTGAAGCTCACTGCCGCCCACCTTCCTGAGCCGATCTTCCACACCTTGGTTTACGCCAGCTGTGCGAGGGTTGGTCGTTATGACCTCTGGGACACCATGCGTGAGATTACTGAGAGTATGGAGGGATTACCGTGGATGGTTAGCGGTGATTTCAATATATTTTTGCATCCCGATGAATGCATTAGTGGCGTATCGGACCGCTGTGCAGAGATCTTAGATTTCTCGCATGCTGTATCGGATTGTGAGCAAGTCGACGCTGGTTACGAAGGGGATCCATTTACGTGGGAGAGGGCCGAAGTCAAGGAGAGGCTCGACCGCGCTCTATACTCAGAGGCATGGACGATGGTGTTTGCGACCAGGTTGTAATACACCTTCCTCGAATTGGATCCAACCATGCTCCCCTTCTGATTCGGTGTCGGTTCTCTATTTCCCCTCGACGAGCATCCTTCTGTTTCTAGAACATGTGGGTCCGCCATCAGTCTTACTACGATATTGTGAGAGCTTCCTGGCAGCA